TGAAAAAACTAAGGGTTGTTCCTGAACAATAGTTACATCAATTGCATTGAAAAATACACACGTCCAACAAATAGTTAGTGAAGTAATCGGAACATAAATTACATTCGCAGTTGTTGGAAGATCGCTGGACTGATTTCCGTTTAGTTGCACATAACTGGTTTGCGATCGGATGATTTGTCTAGTGGGATTTTAAGAATTCCTACAGTTGGTGCAATTACCGCTCATTGGAAAGTGTACGTATAAGAACAAATTAGTTTATCATCATACATAAGTACGTTTACCCATTTACATGCATATAATTCGCTACATCACCGCTTGGCACACTCAGCATCGCATAAGTCAGCGCCTTTACTGCTCTGCTCAGCTCTGCTCATTGTTGCTGCTATTCTGTAAAAGCATCTATTCTGAGAGCTCTGCTGCTAGCAGCATATTATTGCGCTTTATTAGTTACATCTCTCTCTACATTTTTTTGCATAAGCTGCCTGTACTAAAGGTTTAGTGAGACTACGCATTGTTAGCGAGCTGTAGAGAACATCGTTTTTGCTGTCGCTATTATTGATTACTGATAGTTATTCTCTTCGCTTTACATTAAGGGTGTACAAAAATAACGTAAAAGGGATAATGTCTCTTGAACACTCCAAACGCAAACGCGCTAATATAAAAAGCAATATTTCACGTATTAAATCTATAGTTGAGGGATCAAAGGACTTTGACGAAAAGCCTTCACATGTGGAGTTACAGTGCCGACTGGGAATTCTAGAGTCATACTTTAAGCAAGCACTCTCAGTCCAAGCTGATATTGAAGATTTGGATCCATCAGACAACGGTCGCGCAGATTTAGCGGATAGCTTCGTTACAGCTAAACTTTGCATTCAAGCACAACTTGGGGACAAAGGAAACGTTACAATTAATTACCCCGAGACAACAGTACTAACTAATGTTTCCACGCCATCATTCTTGCCAAAGTTGTCGTTGCCTACTTTTAGCGGGAATTACGCAGAATACAAAAACTTTATTGCATCTTTTACTCAACTTGTCGCTCGGGACTAGACTATCAAATATAGAACGATTCAATTATTTGTTGTCAKGTCTTAAAGGTTCAGCCCTGGAAACCGTAAGAGCCTTCCAGGTCATCAGCGAAAACTACCCGAAAGCTTTAGACAGACTCAGGGAACGCTTCGATAATCCCACTCTTATTTTTTTTGGAAGGAATTATTCACGCTGCATACAGCCGAAAAATCAAACTATCAACAGTTGTGTAGTTTGATTGATCAAGCATCAGCTATATTCAGTTCGTTAGAATCATTGGGCATGAGCTCCAATATCGCACAAGCAATGCTGATTTACATTGTTATTGGAAAATGTGATCAGCAAACTCGCAACAAATGGAATGAATCGCTAGACTACAAATCACTTCCAACTTGGATACAATGCACCTAAGTTTTAGAACACCATTGTCAGTTTTTGCATTCATCAGACTCCTCGTCACACCATAAGTTCGAGTCCATCAAACCAAAGCGGATTATTACCCGTGGACAAAACTCATCATTCTCCATCATTAAGCCTTCTTGTGTTCTTTGCTCTAGCGATAAACACAAAATTAGTGGGTGTCACAGAGTARCTCAGTGTGCGTCGAAGAATCGCTGCCGCTCCTGTAACAGAACGCATCATACGCTCTTGCATCATGACAACACGACTCTGCCTACACTTGCAAGTCCAACATCTCTTCCTGTTTCGCAATCGTTTCAAGCATCATCAGCATCATATTCAACCAAACCTCATACTTACAACCAACTAGCAGCCATGCATTCGCATATGGAGACATCGGATCACGACCAGGTCGTTTTAGCAACAGTTCTAGTTCTTGTTAAAGATTTCATGGGTACCTACAAGCTTGGAAGAGCTCTTCTCGACWCATGTTCTCAAGTGAATTTCATGACAGATGAGTTCGCACAAAGGCTTCACCTTCATCGGGAAAAGTACCACATTGGCATTCCCAGCATAGGTGATTCAGTTACCAATCTTAAAGCTCGAACCAYCACAACAATTAAGTCACGTACGTCAGCATTTCAACTTTCGCTCCAGTTTGGTATGACACCCCATATTGCATACCAACCTGACGCTGAAATTGACACAATAAACTGGAACTTCTCAGCTAATAAAACTTTTGCTGACGAAACCTTTTTCAAATCTCGATGCATCGATCTGTAGTTGGAAACAGAGTCATTTTTTGAAGCTCTCGGAGTTGGTCAAATAAAGCTTTGTCCGAATTTACCTACATTGCAAAAAACATTATTTGGCTGGGTGGTTTCTGGAAGATACCAGTCGAAGCACTACACGCCGTCAAAGTCATGTCTGCTATTTCGCGAAGACTCTATCGACTCAAACATGCAACGCCTTTGGGAGCTCGAAACTGTCGACAGTAAACCCAACAGTATTTCACCTGATCATCGCATTTGTGAACGTCATAGCCACAACACATCAAGATACAACTAGACGAGGTTGCCATTTAACTGCACTTGGAGCCTCATTCGATATCGCTCGCCACCGATTCCTAGCAATCGAACGCCGTCTGTCGCATTCGCCAGACACTTATTCCCAGTACGTCTCGTTCATGGAAGAATACGAAGGTCTTGGTCACATGTCTGTAGTAAAGGCGCCGAAATTAGACACACTATTACATACCACATCACTGCGTAATGAAACCTACAAGCGCATCAACAAATTTACGAGTAGTGTTCGACGCTCCTTGCGAAACTACAACACAAACATCGCTAAATGACTTACTTTTAGTAGCAGTGCGAAGCCTTCACTAATTAGCATAGAAGCATAGGGCAGAATTTCCAATTGGATGATTCGTCCTATGTGGATGATTTTCTATGTGGTGCGGATGACACAGATGCCTTACACACATTAAAGGAAGAAGTTAYTGAGATACTTCAACGCGGACAGTTTCCTCTATCCAAGTGGCATTCCAATCACCCAGATTTCCTGGAAGGCTAAACTATGAAAGGGCTAAGCATTACCGATGATTTTATATCAAGTGCACTTGGGGTGACTTGGAATCAACGCAACGACACGTTGTTGTTTTCATTCAAGTTCACAAGTCTRTCACAAAGCGCACAATACTGTCTATCGCTTCATCGCTTTTCGATCCACTTGGAGTGCTCTCCCCACTAGTGCTAACCTCCAAAATAATCATGCAGGAACTGTGGCTGCTAAAATTAGATTGGGACGAGTCGATTCCCCAACATATACACCAAGCCTGGAATTGTTGCATCTCTTAACTCGCTTTCATCATTCATCCCGCCACGTTATTGTCTGCTACCAAATGCTCGCGACATACAGTTACATGGATTTTGCGACGTATCAATTCGGGCATAAGGATCGGCGATTTACATACGCATAGAAGACTACGTCGGAAAGGTTGCTGTACATTTACTCACTTCAAAATCAAGGTTCGCACTTTGCGGTGCCCACCTTCTCGCTCGCCTTTATGCTAAGGTAGAGTACATATTTACCTCTGTTCGCATAACAACTTCTTTTGGACTGACTCGCAACTAGCTCTACATTGGTTAAAACAACACTCCGTTACGCTGTCAACGTTCGTGGGCAACAGGGTATCTGACATACAGGAATTGACTGCAGGTGGACAATGGAAGTATGTGCCTTCCAAAGAAAATCCAGCCGACCTAGTATCTCGAGGCTGCCCTGCTGCTGAGCTCAAATCCTCGATATGGTTTTCTGGTCCTGACTTTTTGCGAGACGTCGCGATGAAATGGCCAAGGCACACAAGTAACATCGAGCTTGACATGAATATTGTGAACGGAGAGAAACGCAAGAAGACATTTGCTGTAGTGAAGGAGGTGAATTACTTGATCGATGTCGTTAATGGTATAAGCTCGTATCTCCATTGTCTGCGTCTCACCGCCTGGATCTTTCGGTTCAGTGATAAATTCAGACGAAAGTCTACGACAACCGCCATTTCGCCATCCCCTGACGAATTACAACGTGCATCAAATTGCATTATTTTCAATATTCAGCAACAACATTTTTCAAACGATATTCAATTGCTTCGAAAAAACCAAGCTCAAAAAAGTAACTTGAAGTTTCTCACTCCGTTCTTGGACAACGTAACCGGTTTCGAACTCATAAAAGTTTGTACTAAAGTACGTTCGACACCTATATTTGCGAAATTTTCATGTAGGCCCAAAGGCATTGGTGGCCTTCATCAGATTAGAATTTTGGATTGTCAACGCTAGAGATGTTGCTCGTCGCATCGTTCGTTCCTGTGTGCATTGTGTTTGCTACAAGCCAGTGCTGTTACAGCAGGGATGGGCCCATTACCAGTTACACGTATTACACCTGCACGCCCATTTGAACGTTTTTTTTAAATTGGAGGGAGAATATTCGAAAGATACCGTAATTTTTCCGGACGGTATGCAAGATTCGTATTGGTCACTGAAACGGAGACCAATACGCCTACGTAATAAACCCTTAACTTCATTGTCTTTGCTTGTTTATTTGCCCCACGGAACTGTCGTTAAGCATTACATCGTGAGACCAGGCTTAGCCATTTGGCTCGTCATTCACGCTATTCCGGCCTACTCCTCATTCATCCCTCTTCTGATTTCCCTGCGTTGCCACTCATTCCTTCTTAGCTCTTTCAGAACTATAGCACACCGCGCTCTCACACTATCCCACACTTGTTTCGAATCTATCATAAATCGCATTATGTTATCCGGTGTCACTCGTTCCGTTGTCAGCTTCTGTAGATCGGCTCCCTCCTTTTCGGCAAAATAAGAAGATGTGCAACGCATTTTCTCCGCTGCTGTCACAGAAAGTACAATTCGTCCCGTCGTCATGTCCATATTTATAGAGATACTCTCAAAAACACCCGTGTCGGTTCAAAAACTGCGTCAGGTAGAAATCTGTTTCTCCGTGTTTCCTTTCTACCCATGCTTGTACATTTCTAATCAGCATCCCATCGCTTTTGCCACTCATTTTTCCTTCTCATCCTTCCGTTCTTCAGCCGTTAGCCGCCTGCCCAGTCTTGTAGATCTGTCTATATTCTTTTGAGTTCCATGGCCATTACCTCTGGTGGCATAATGCCCGCTCCCAACCGCTTCGTGTGATACCGTACGAAATGCACATGTGACCCTAACGGCACTAAGCCGCATTGCAAACTTCGTTTTCTTAGCATACGTCTTTTGCTGTAATGCTGGTCCCCATATCGGCGCCGCGTACATCATAAGTGATTGGCTCACCTTGTCCAAGAGCGCACGCCTATTTTGGCTTGGTCCACCAATGTTGGCCATTACTCTTGCTAGTGCGGCCGTGGCACGTGCTGCTTTCTCATATGCCTTTTCAATGTGCGCCTTGTACCTGAGTCTATTGTCTGTCAGTACTCCAACATACTTCAGCGTCTTCTGTGCCATGATACTATGGCCGTCGATGTTTAGTTTGATGCCTTCGAGTTTTTTCCTACTTGTGATTAGCACAGCTTCGGTCTTTTGTTCACCGAGTTGGAGGTTTGTTGCCGTTCTTTTACCACTACGGTAATGGCAATATCATCCGCGTACCCGATGACCTGCACCTGTTTCGGGAGTGGAAGACGGAACACTCCACCATACAATACGTTCCACAACAATGGGCCTAGCACAGAGCCTTGTGGAACTCCGCCCGTTACCACATACTTCTTTTGCCCGTCATCTGTATCGTACAGTAACAGCCGGTCCGACAGGTAGCTGGATATAATCTCGTTCTAATGCACTGATAATATGGGGTCAGTATGCCGTTTTTGACGTCAAAGGTGACTCCTGCGCAGTATTCCTTTGTGCCATACAGCCATCTGGTACCCTCTATTGCCTTGTTGGCTATGTCCGTAAGCTTCTTGATCCCATCAGTGGTTGATCTCTGCTTGCGGAGTCCATACTGGTTGTCGGACAGACCTTTCTTATCTTGTTTTTCTAAATGCAGCTCTAATCGTGCACAGATTATCCTCTCTAGAATCTTGCCAGTCGTATCCAGCATGMAGAGTGGTCGACATGAGCTCGGGTCTCCGGTTGGTTCCTCTCTAATACTTCAGCATAGGTGACTATCGTGTTTTCTGTTTCAGCAGGTTCCTGTGTGCTAGCCGTTCGGTGCTCTAGGAGCTGTGCGGGGAATAGAGTCCCCACAACTGTTTTCAGCAGCGCTGGACACGTTGGTGCTTGTTCTTTGTCCCCCTTTTTTTTGCCATTGTGAGCTTGTAGGCATCACCCCATGGGTTTTTGTCGATTTTTGCACCGAGGTCTTTAAAGCAGTAGGATTTACTTTTTTTAATTACTTTTTTAAGATCGCCTCGTTTGGTTTTAAAGTATGCGCGTAGTTGCGTTTGTTCCGTGAGTCAACGACTCCTTTGGCACCTCCTTCTCGCTTTGTGGCATTCCTTCCTTATGTCCTTCCTTATGTCGATCTCCTCACTCCACCAGTAAACAGGCTTTCTATGGGCGCCATTTTTTTTTACTCATAGAAGCGTCGCATGCTTTACTAATGTGCCTCATTAGAATCTCCGCTTGCCGATCTATGTTTTCCTGAAATGTTATATTACCATCTAACAGGAGCTTAAAGAGTTCGACGTCAAGGGTTTCTATTTTTCCACCCTCTCATTTGTACCGTCTTAGCGGGCATACACCTTAGGTGGTTCGCTGAATGTTGGATTTCATACATAATTGCATAATGGTCACTATGCGTTTAAAGGTCGCACACCTTCGAATTTGTTGTTCGCTCCAGAGAGCTGCTAACGGAGGTAATATCAATAACGGAGCTCCGGCCGTTCTTCTCGAAGGTGTTCTGATTGCCGGTGTTCAGTAACACCATGTCTAGCGAAGAGAATTCCTTTAGTAGGGCATCTCCACGCTCATTTGTACAGATGCTATCCCACTACATCGCCCAAGCATTGAAATCGCCTGCGACCACATTCCTCGCAGTTGATGAGATTTCTCTGACCAGCTCGTCCAGAAGTTTATCAAAATCACTCTGCGATATGCTTGGTGATACGTAACAACTATAGAAATTGATCCCAGAGATTTCCGCTCGAGTGTAGAGGGATTTCCCCAATAGCGGTTCGTCTTGAAACATTTTCCCTCCACATGCCCATATGGCAGCTTTGTTCGTATTGTCAGAGATCCATGACGCGTCGCTTATATTTTTATACTGCTCACTTATAACATCTATATCGACCTTTTCCTCATAGACCGTCTGCTTAAGAAGCTCTTGTGCAGCCTCGCAGTGATTGAGGTTGAGTTGCATGACTCCCATTTTTTGGTGGTTTTACATGCTTATTGATACAACGGACACTTTTTACTACCAATTTGGTGGTCGGTGTTTTSCCTGCCCTTTTTCTAACATGCACTACACGACGAATTTTTATCGCATGACTTCGCAAAGTGTCCACTTTCTCCACACTTGACACAGCACTGGCTCCTATCATCGGGATTGTCTCATGTTTTCGTCAGATGAACGTACTCTAGGCATCTAAAACACCTCCTGAGATATTACTTAGCTTTTATTCTGCACACTACCCAACCTACTTTGATTTTGTGTGCATCCTGAAGTATTCTTGCCTCCAACGCGGATAGGCTTACCACTGCAGTTGGGATTCCTAAGTACGCTGGTCTGATGCTCTTAATCGAATTTTCATCCAAATTACTCAATTCATTTATTTGTATTCGTATAGCCTCGGCAATGCCCTCTTTAGTCGTGATTTCGCCAAGGTCACGTATTTCTAGTATGACCTCGTGAGTTAACGCTTTTATCTGCGCCTTTTCTCCTAGTACCCTGCTTATTTCGGTCTTGAAGGTACCTGTGCTTTTCATTTCTCTCTCTTTCAACTCGAGCAGGATTTGTCCTTTAGCCGTCTTTTTGATCTTCATTGCATTGTCTTCTAGTTTCTGCAGGGTATCATTTTTCCTCACAGTCCTTAGAATGTCGCTATATGACATGTCGCCTGTTTTTTCAATGACTATTGCATCAGGTTGAGGAGACGGCTTATGTGGTGCCTTCTTTTGCGGCTTACGTTTGACTGTGAGCCAGTCATCTTGTTTTCCCATTTCTTTATAATTGACTTTGGTGGGATTATCCCACTTTGCTTCTTTTTTAGGGGAACTTCAGGTTTGCTCGGCCATTCCCTATGGTTGTTTTTGTTCTTCTTCGGTGGTGTTCTTCGCTTTGGATGAACTTCGTCGCGAGGCCTCTTTGGTGTATTCTCTGTCGCTGCTGGTATGACGAAAAACTTTGTCGTGCTTCCTTAGTGGCATTGTGTTCTTCCTGGACACTTGCATGTCGTTTTGTTATCACACCGAGAAGATCTCTCATGGTGTTGTTGATAGTCCGCTGGGGTGGTCGCATTGTTGCAATCAGGTCTCGATCGCATTCCCTAGTTCAGTCATACAGTCTCCACGAGGTTGTATCGCTTTTGCCAGGGGAGTGATCTTGCCCAACGCTGGTGGTGATGACCTCGCTCTTATCGGTTTGTCAACACCAAGGTTTTTAATCGGGGACCTACCCAATTTTGGCGCCCTCTTGCAATTACCATCGCTCAGGCTTCCAATGCTGCTGTCTCTTATAGTCGCAAAAATGTAGCTGCTGCTGTTATTAGTGGTTTTGTTTCTCGTATTCTCCATATGGTTTGTTTTTCCGGTGCATCGTGTGCAGGGAGGCGGGCCGAAATAAACAGGAACGGGTGTACAATCGGGGACACTGCCCCTACCCCAGTTCTCTAAGGCCTGTCCTTCGGTTTACCAGTCCCGGAAAACACAGACGGACCGGCGCTCGCCCGAGGCAACGTAGGCTACTACTCCTGCGTGCAATGCACACTCCTTGACCAGGGCTGGTTCCTGATAGACATCGCGGCTGACACATCGGCAGAGCATGCTCACATCACCCACTACATTTCGCTAGCAGAGAAACGCATTGTGGGTCAGATGCGCCTGGATTTTTATTGTTTGAGGGGACACGTGTTTCTATGAGGCGGTATCGATTCGCCACAGTCACAGAAGCTTTGGCTTTTATGCCGCATCCTCCACTTCTGGCGCTCATCGTCGGGAATTGCTTATTCGTTTAAACTTATTTCGCAACTTACCTGCTACTACCGGCCGATCGGCTATCCGCGACCTGCCGACCTACCCCGGTAGCTTATAGCCCAGCTAGAGAGCTCAAATTCGATTGAACAGAGCACTCCGTCCGTGTTTGTGGGTGTGAGTGATTGGTTATGTGTGTAGTGTTTTTTACCTTGCAARTCGGCATGAAGCCACCTTCTCGAATGATATTAGCTCCAAAGGAAGTTATGCGAAATCAGTTACTGTATTCAAGAAAATGCGTTCAAGAAAATGGCTGGAATCGGGATCATTTCCATCGAACAATGGTTTCAGTGGCTGTGGTGTGTACGTAATGGATCCAGTTTGATTTTCACTTGCGCAAAACAATCCAGCCGTTTCTCTTTTGAACTTTAACACATTGCAATATCGGCATATAGTCGTCATTGGTCCAATATATGAATTTTCATCATCAGTGTAGTTCGCAATGGGATCATATTGGAATGCCAAGCGTTTGTATGATGATAATGATCTTCTTGTCCTCACGCGTTGTCTCAATCGGGCATTTTCTTAAGTTGTGTGAATACCCTTTTCCTGGCTTGCATGTCTTGTGCTGTTCGCACGTCGTCCTCTAGGCATTTTGGACTATGGACAGAGTGGTGAATTTGACCTCAAATGCACGATTCACATAATTTACCCAGTTCAACTTACCACCTTTAAAACAAATGCCTGCTGTTGAAATTGAATAAAAATTTGCAAAATGCACGTGATTAATTTGATGGTTGAAATTAAAATATTAGGAAACGAATAACTTATTTTTTTATTTTATTTTTTCACTATTTCACATTGAACTCAATGAGTAGCTGTCAATGTATCACACAAGGGCGCCATCTATTTAAAATATTGGTTACGATCCGAATCAAGACTTGACTCAGAACAACGATGGTCCATAAAAGATTGAACGTCTTCAAGTCTGCTACACTAGAAATTATATAAAGAAATTATGCATAAGTTCTAGCTAGCAAAACTTCTTTTGGAAAGTCCAAAAACCTTTTAATCTACCAGTAGATTCCAACATGCCTTTAAGACAATTGAATGGTAATTTGGCACGAAGTGATGAGGAACAGGCAAATTATTTTGCAAATCACATAGAAAAGGTATTTTAACCTCATTGCCCAAAGAACAACTTTAAGTGGCGATCTTTGCCCAATACCGCTAACGAGTCGCTTGTGTCTATTAGGACTTTTACTTCTGAAGTTACTAGAATCATAAACGAGCTAGATTAGAACACGATACTATTACTCCAAAAGGGGTGCTCTCCCAGCAGCCGTCTTCGTACCGACCAATATTGTATTTCTAAA